TCTGAGAAGAGCCATCAAAGTCCCTCTCAGAGGAGCCATCGCAGTTCCTCTGAGAAGAGCCATCAAAGTCCCTCTCAGAGGAGCCATCGCAGTTCCTCTGAGAAGAGCCATCAAAGTCCCTCTCAGAGGAGCCATCGCAGTCTCTCTCAGAGAGACCATCCCAGTCCCACTGAGAGGAGCCATCGCAGTCCCTCTCAAAGGAGCCATCGCAGTCCCTCTCAGAGAGACCATCCCAGTTCCTCTGAGAGGAGCCATCGCAGTCCCTCTGAGAGGAGCCATGGCAGTCCCTCTCAAAGGAGCCATCGCAGTCCCTCTCAGAGAGACCATCCCAGTCCCACTGAGAGGAGCCATCGCAGTCCCTCTCAAAGGAGCCATCGCAGTCCCTCTCAGAGAGACCATCCCAGTCCCACTGAGAGGAGCCATCGCAGTCCCTCTCAAAGGAGCCATCGCAGTCCCTCTCAGAGAGACCATCCCAGTCCCACTGAGAGGAGCCATCGCAGTCCCTCTCAAAGGAGCCATCGCAGTCCCTCTCAGAGAGACCATCCCAGTCCCACTGAGAGGAGCCATCGCAGTCCCTCTCAAAGGAGCCATCGCAGTCCCTCTCAGAGAGACCATCCCAGTCCCACTGAGAGGAGCCATCGCAGTCCCTCTCAAAGGAGCCATCGCAGTCCCTCTCAGAGAGACCATCCCAGTCCCACTGAGAGGAGCCATCGCAGTCCCTCTCAAAGGAGCCATCGCAGTCCCTCTCAGAGAGACCATCCCAGTCCCACTGAGAGGAGCCATCGCAGTCCCTCTCAAAGGAGCCATCGCAGTCCCTCTCAGAGAGACCATCCCAGTCCCACTGAGAGGAGCCATCGCAGTCCCTCTCAAAGGAGCCATCGCAGTCCCTCTCAGAGAGACCATCCCAGTCCCACTGAGAGGAGCCATCGCAGTCCCTCTCAAAGGAGCCATCGCAGTCCCTCTCAGAGAGACCATCCCAGTCCCACTGAGAGGAGCCATCGCAGTCCCTCTCAAAGGAGCCATCGCAGTCCCTCTCAGAGAGACCATCCCAGTCCCACTGAGAGGAGCCATCGCAGTCCCTCTCAAAGGAGCCATCGCAGTCCCTCTCAGAGAGACCATCCCAGTCCCTCCGAGAGGAGCCATCGCAGTCCCTCTCAGAGAGACCATCCCAGTCCCACTGAGAGGAGCCATTGCATTACTTCTGAGAAGAGCCATCAAAGTCCCTCTGAGAGGAGCCATCGCAGAATCTCTGAGAAGAGCCATCGAAGTCCATCTCAGAGGAGCCATCAAAGTCCCTCCGAGAGGAGATGTCGCAGTCCCTCTGAGAGGAGATGTAGAAGTCCCTCTGAGAAAATCCATCGCAGTACCTCTGAGAGGAGAGGACACAGTCTGTCTGAGAGAAGACAGCTCAGGCCCTCTGAGTGGAGCCAACACAAGCTGTCAGAGAAAACCCACAGAAGTCCCTCTGAGAGAACCCATCACTATCCCCCTAAAGAAAGACTCAAGCACAGCTCCCCTACGGAGAGACCCAGACATAATTTGTCTAAAGATTTCAAGAGTTACTCAAACATGTCTCCTAGGGACCACACAAAAAAAACCAAAAGCAGGGCAAGTTTGGAGCCCTGGGGCTATTAGATGAGATTTACGCCCCCATTATTTATTTATTCACTCAAGTATTCACCAAGCTGCCCTTTCCTGGCTTCTTTCATGCTCAGCCACTGACTCCAATTCTTGCGCCCTCAGCAATGGAAGAGCTTGTCTCTTCGACCTGGGGGGGAGGGAGGGCGGGAATGGGTCTGTAATTTCTCTAAGATAAATAAAGGGGCAATAATTGATCTTCCTGTGCATCTACAAAGACCACTCGTCGTGCTGGAGCGGGGGAATGGAAGGTGGAGGGACACTAGGTGTCGGGCAAACGGGTGGAAGGCGAGGGAGAGGTCCTGGGGCCAGGTTAAGGACCCACTCCTACACACAGTCTCTGCGGTTCTACAATGCAACCCCGGGGCGGGGGCTCAGAGGAATCGGAGGGCGACTCGTCACGTGACAAACTACGACCACAGCCCCCCTCCGAGGCCACTTGGCGGAAGTAGACGTTCGGAACGGAGCTCGGCGGCGCCGACTCCACATCCGGGAGAAAAGACGAGAGCGGAAGTGGCGTTGGTCTGGCCGGAGTCCTTGGGTGAATTTGTTAGGCGTGGAGAGGGAGTAATGTCTTCCAGACTCGGTGCAGTACCCGCCGTGAGTTTCTCGGTTTGAACGTTGTGCTTCAGGGGTAGCGCTGTTGAGCCCGCAACACGCGGTCCCTCGCTTTTGTCCCATCCTCAGAGTTGATTTTATCAGAGCCCATCGTAGGCCCCACCCTTCTAGGTCAGATCTACTTGTCCCCCCTTTTCTCTTCACTTTCCGCTGCCTGTTTCCCACGTCCTAGGACTCAGTTCCTTGCCAGATTGCCATTAGTTCCTATTGCTTTTGCAGCTCCAGTGTTTCCTTGACCGTTGCCCTCCCGTTTTTTCTCCCTTTTAGACAGGGCTTTGAGAATGGGGGAGATGAAGGTTCTGGTGTTGTCACCTGCCGTGATTCTGTAGGACAGAACGGCACACTTTTCCTAAAAAGCCCTGCCGCCTTCCATTTGAAGTAGTTGCCCCAGGAGAACTTCGTTTCTTCTGGGCACAGGGGTGTTTGTCTTTTTGTGCTCAAGGTTCAGAGGTCCCTAGCATTCACTCATGCGCTTGCTTTTGCTAGACTCCGGGACCCACATCCTTTAAACAGAAGAGGAACACGAGGATCGTGAGAGCCAAGAAGTAAGTGCGGTTTTCTGATGTTCATTTATAATTGTGTCGCCAGTGCTGGCCAATAGAACGCTCTGTGATGATGAAAATTTTCTGTATCCACACTGCCCAGTACTGTAGTCACTGGCCACGTGTGGCTTTTGAGCCTTTGAAATGTGGCTAGTGTGGAGGAACAATTTCAAACTGTATTTAATTTTAATTAAATTTAAATAGCCACCTGTAGCTAAAGTCTGCCTGATTAGACAGTGTAGATTTAAACCTAGAGAAAAATTTAGCTTGCAAGAAAAAAGTACGAATTATAATAAAAATGGAATATATGACTCAGCGTACATATGACTACATTTATATCCTCATGAATACTTTGGTGAACATGGGAAGGACTGATAAAAATAACTAAGAAATTCTTGTATTTTTCAAACTACTTGGCTTTGAGACTGGTGTATTATTGTGTATAGTGAATGTGCTAAGCTTTTTCATATTTGTTAATATTGAAAAGATTGTTAACTAGATACTCATTGGAAGGGATTAATTCATTCAGATAGCATTTACTAAATATCTATGTGCCAGCTGTGTAGTAGGTTAGATATACAGACATGAAAAACAAAACAGTTGAAAAGGGGAGCTAGGCGAATAGCTCAATACAATACAGTGTAATTTAGTATTTTAAAACAGGAATTTAATGTAGCCTTGCAAGGGAAGGGTTGCCAGAGCAAGTCACTCCTAAACAGACTTGAAAGTAAAGGAATAATGCAGTTAGCCAGAAAGGAAAGGTATTTTTTTTTTTCAGAAGAGAAAACAGGATATGAACAGGTAAAATAATTTAATGGGATAGCAAGAGAGTTATTGTTAAAAAATATAAAGGTTAATGGGCCCTCATCCGTTAATCTGAATCAGTCATTGGGGTTAGGGTGTTGGCATTTTTATTTTTAACTGGCTCCCTTCTAAGAGACTGCAGAATCTTCAAACCATTGGTGAGAAGTGACACTAGAAGAAAGTGGAGGTGAAACCATGGAGAACAGCATTTAAGGATTGAGTAGAATAAAAGGAGGCTGCAAAGGATACTGAGATGAACTAAAATACTTTTCCATTGAAATCTGAGTGTTTGTACCTAGAGAATGAACTATGGGTTCTTAAACATTCTTGGTAGATCAGAAAGGAGCTGAAAATAGGTTAAACTTTTCATCTTTGTGATCAGAAGCAGAGACTGAAAGGTCAGCACGACAGACAACACTACAAATTATGATAGTCATTAAAAAGTCACTGCAGTTATGATAGTCATTGGTTGAACCAAAAACTTTTTCTGCTCGTATTTATGGAGAGGGAAGTTTGAGATTAATCTAGTTTTTAACAAATAAGCAAATGCCCTGACTTAATAGGTAGATAGTGTAAAATACTTGAGAATTTTTGTTGAGACCTTTAAAAATGAAAGACAGAGAACGTGGAGGGAGGGATTCTCTAACCGTATTGACTTAACCCCCAAGATGTTAACCATGCCAACCATATGAACTATTGATGATTTTTTTTACTATGCTCATGCTTATTCATGAGGAGGGATATGACTATATCTGGTCCTACAATGATAGTAAAAAAATTTCTTTGAGGACAGTTTCCTAAGAGGCGTCACATGAGACTGGACTCTTAATGGCCTGTTGATACTATCAGGTCTTTCTAGTAGAGATCGTTCCCATTGTTTGGGATGGTGGGTTTTGGCTCTAGGAGACTGCCAATTCTCATTTTAAAATTTTTAATATTTTTGTTGAGATATAATTGAAATACAATAGACTGCACATATTTAAAATATATAATATGATTAGGTTTGACACATGTAAGTACCTGTGAAACTTCCCACAATCAAGATAATATTTCCATCTCTCCCAAAAGTATTTTCATGTCTCTTTGCAATCCATTCCTCCCTCTACTCCTGTCCCCAGATACTGTTGACCTGTTTTCTGTCACTGTACAGTAGTTTGCATGTTCTAGAATTTTGTATAAATGAAATCATAACAGTATGTTGGCTTTTTGCATGATTTCTTTCACTCAGAATAATGATTTTAAATGAAAAATATTTTTTAATGCTGAATAGAATTCTATTATGGATATACTGTTATTTGTTTAGCTGTCTACCTTGATGAACATTTGAGTTATTTTCAATTTGGGGGTATTACAATAAAACTGCTATGAATATTCATATACAAGTCTCTGTGTGGAAAAATGTTTTCATTTCTCTTGTTAAGTATCTAAGATGGTATTTATTTACTAAGATGGTATTTAGCATTTAAGATGGTTAGGTCATATGTCAGGATTATGTTTATAAGAAATTGCTTGTTTTCCAAAATGGTGGATTATTTTACATTCCTACCAGCAGTGTTTGAGAGTCTTTAATTTTAGCTTATTTAATGGGCATATGAGTATTGTTTCATTGTGGTTTTAATTTCCTTTTTTTTGATGAGTTGATGTAGAACATCTGTTCATGTGCTTATTGGCCATTCATATGTCCTCTTTTGTAAAGTGTCTGTTCATATGTTTTGCCCATTAAAAAAAGTTCTTTGTCTTATTATTAAATTGTAGTATTTTTGTAAAAATATTCTGTTCAATTCCTTTGTCTGATATATGTGTTTTGAAAACTTCTTCCAGTTTGTGGTTTGCATTTCATTTTCTTAATGGCATCTTGTGAAGAGCAAAAGTTTTAAATTTATCATTAAAAAATGATAAAAATTTCATTATTATTATTATTATTATTGTCTCATGCTTTTTGTATTCTATTTAAGAAAACTTTGCCATCCCTAAATGCAAATATTTTCTACTATGTTTTCCTCTAGAAGTTTTGTAGGATTTACATTTAGATCTGTGACTCATTCAGAGTTAATTTTTATGCGTGTATCTTAAGAGTCAATGTTAATTTCCATTTGTATATCCAGTTGAAAAGACTTTCCCTATTCAGTTGCCTTGGCACCTATGTCAAAAATCAGTTGAACGTGTATATGTGTTTCTGTTTCTAGACTCTCCTTATTCTGTTCCATTGATGTATATATCTGTCTTTTTGTCAATAATAAATTATCTTGATATTGTAGCATTAGAGTAAGTCTTCAAGTTAGATAAAGTCATCTAACTTCATTGTTCTTTTTCAAAATTGCTTTGTCTATTCTAGGTTCTTTGTGTTTTTATGTAAATTCTACAATCGTTTCTATTAAAAGAAGCATGCTGGAGTATTGATTGGTATTATTTTGAATCTGTAGATCAATTTGAGAACTGCCATTTTAATAGTATTGAGTTTTCTGATTTATGAGCATGCTATACTTTCTCATTTATTTAGGTCTTTAATTTCTCTCACCAGTGTGTTATAGTTTTCATTGTAAAAGTCTTGGATGTCTTTCGTTAGGGTTGTTCTTAGGTATTTTATATGTTTTTTTATGTCATTGTAATAGTGTTATTTTTATAAATTCATTTTCTAGTTGCTTTTTCTAGTATCTAAGAATACAGTTGATTTTTCTGTGTTAACCCTGTATCCTGCCACTTGCTAAATTCATTTTTAGTTCTAATAGTTGTTCTGTATATTCCTTGGGATTTTCTTTGTAAGCAAATATACAGTCTGTAAGTAGGGACAGTTTTACTTTTTTTCTTTTGTTCCTTATGCCTCCCTGCCCCCTTTTATAAAAACCTTTTTGCAGTGGCATTTAACAATGGAACCTTCTGGACCTGGAGTTTTCTTTTTGAGAAGGTTTTGATAACGAATTCAGTTTCTTTAAAAGATATAGAGCTTTTAGATTTCCAGTTTCTTGTGTCAGTTTTGTTAAGTTGTATTTTTGGTAAGAAATTTGTTCTTAATTTGTCAGTTTATTGGCATAAAGTTGTTCAAAGTATTCTCTTATTATTTTAATGTCAGTATGATAACTACTCTTTCATTCCTGCCATTGGTTATTTGTGGTATCTTTTTCTTGATCAGTCCAGCTACAGAGTTGTCAATTTTGTTATCTTCTCAGAGAACCAGATTTTCTTTATTGTTTCTAATTCATGAATTTCTCCTCTTTATTATGTTTTCCTTCTATTTATTTTAAAAAGAAGAATTTTTAAGGTTTCCTAGGATAAAATCTTAAGTCATTGATTTTAGATCTTCTTTTCTAGTATAATCATTTAAAGCTTTTAAGTGTGCTTCTCAGTACTGCTTTAGTTGAATCGCACACATTTTGATATGTGCATTTTTGTTAATCACTTCAAAATATTTACAAATTTCCCTTGTGATTTCGTTTTTGACACACAGATTATTTAGAAGTAGATTGTTTAATTATCAGATTTTTAAAAAATTACATATCTTCTAGTCTTGATTTCTAATTTAATTCTGATATGGTCAGAACACATGTGTAATTTTCATCTTTTTAAATGTAAAGTTTATGGCCCGGCATATGATCTATCTTGGCGAATGTACAATGTGCATTTGACAAGAACGTATATCCTGTAATTGTTGGATGTAGTGTTCTATAAATGTTGACTGGAACAAGATTTTGTTTTCCCTGAATTTTTGTCTAGTTCCATCAGTTGCTGAGAGGAAGAGGTCTTAAAATTGTCTGCTAAAAGTGTAGAATTGTCTATTTTTTCTTTAATTCTATTGGTTTTGCCTTGTGTACTTTGTTATAGACACATATAATGGGTAATTGTGTATTCCTTATGATTTGTTACTTTTATCATTATGAAGTGTCCCTTTTTATGTCTAGCAATGCTCTTTGTCTTGAAGTCTGTTTTATCCGATATTAAAACAGCCACTCCAGCCTTCTTGTGTTGCCGATTGCATGATCTAATTTTTTTCATCCCTTCACTTTCAATCTATATTGCTTTATATTTAAAGTGTGCCTCTTGTGGCAGCATGCAGTAGAGTATTGCTTTTTTTATTCACTCTGAGTCTCTGATTTTTAAGTGGAGTATTTAGACCATAAATATTTAAATTAATTATGGATGTGGTTGGATTTAGGTCTACCATTTTATTATCTGTTCTCTGTACCCTGCTTTTTGTTCATCTATACCTTCTTTCTTGAATGTTTAGTGTCCCATTTTAATTTATCTCTTTGATTTTTTGGCTTGCTCTTGCTCTCTTCTGTTTGTATGTGCTTGCTCGTGGTCTCCCTCTCCCTCTCCTCCCCCTCCTGCTCCCTTCCTCCCTCCCTCCCTCCGTGTGTGTGTGTGTGTGTGTGTGTGTGTGTGTGTGTGTGTGTCCCCTCTTTCTCTCAGTACTGGTTACTTTAGGAATTACAATATAATACCTATTCTTCCACAGTCTACTTAGAGTTAATATCCTACTACTTTGCTTAAATGTAGAACTCTCACAACCATAGAGCTTCCTTTAACCCCCTGCCTGCTGACCATTAAGTTATAGCTGTCATATATACTATATTTATATACATTGAGAACTTGACCAAATGTTAAAATTTTGCTTTAAAGAGTTTTTTATATTAACCCAAGTTATTTACCATTTCTTTTCCTCTTTCTTTATTCTTAAAAACCCAAATTTCTCTGTCATCATTCCTTTCGCTAGAACAGTTTTCTTTAGCATTTCTCATAGAACAGATCTGCTGACAAATTTTTAGTTTTTCTTCATCCGAAGAAATATTCCTAAAGGATATTTTTACTGCATCTTCTCTCTCAGGATTTTAAAGATGTTGTTGCACTGTTTTCTGTCCTACTTGGTTTCTGTTGAGAAATCCATGATATTTCGAATCACTGTTGCCTGTATGTAATATGTCATTTTTTCTGGCTGCTTTCTAGTTTTTTTAATGTTTAGTTTTGAACAGTTTCATTAAAATATGTCTAATGTGTGTTTTCTTTCAGTTTCTCTTCTTGAGTATTTGTTGAACTCCTTGAATCTGTAAATTAATTTCATTAAATTTGGGGAATTTTTCACCATTTTTTTCAAATACATTTTTCTGCCTCAGGCTCTTTTTTCTCTCCTTCTGGGATTACAACTACACTTAAGTTAAACCTTTAGATATTGACCCACAGGTTGTTGGGGCTCTGCTTTTTCTTCTTTTTCTTATTCAGTTTGGATAATTTCTGTTGATCTATTATCAAGTTTAGAGACTCTTTCCTCTGTCTGCATTCTATTACTAAGACCATCCAGTGAGTTTTTATTTCAGATATTGTATGTTTCAGTTCTAAAATTTCATTTGGTTCTTTTCTAAGGTTTCTATTGTTTTTTCTTGATAATTCCTACCTTTTCCTTTATTTCAAATGTGTTTTCCTTTATTTAATGGAGCATAGTCATAATAGCTGCTTTAAAGTCTATGATAGTTCCAATATCTGTATTATCGTGGAGTTGACATCTGTTTACCATCTATGCCTTTGAGAATTGCTCACATTTTCCTAGTTTTTTGTGTATTGCATAATTTCAGAATTTATTCTCAAGATTGTGAATGTTATATATGTAGACTCTGGGTCTTTTTACACTCTGCTGGGGAATGTTAATGTTTTTATTTTAGCAGGTAACCTGTTTAGGTTCAGACTGTAAGTTCTGTTTTCCTTTCTGTGGGCATGGTTCTATGTCAGTTCCATTCTTTGAGTCTTCGCTATTATGGTTTAGGTCTTTTTTTGTACACAACTAGCTCAGGGGTTAGTCTGAGACCTTTTTTGGGTGTTTCAAATCTTGGTTTATTTAGCTCTCCAAGCTTTTGATACATTAGTTTGGGTCTGTCTCACTCTAATAGCTCAAGGTTTAGTCTGAGACTTGTGCATTTGTTCAAATCTTGTTTCACTTTTCAAAGCCTTTGCTATGCTGGTTTGAGTATGTTCCACACATATATAGCTTAGGATAAGCTGTGAATTCATACACAAAATTATAGGATCCCTTCTCTGCCTCTCTCTTCTTCATGACTCCCAACCTCCTCCCAATCTATAGAAATTCCTTTTTCTGATTTCTCTGGCCAGAAAGGTGGAGATTCTGTTGGAAACTGTTCAAAACTAAACATTGGTGCTCTGCAAATGGGGCCTACCTTTGTTGCAAAGCCCACTGTGAGAGAGCAAAATACTGGGAGGACCTTCTCTCAGTTTTGACTCCTCTCCACAATCTACTTGATTTTGTTTACTTTTCAGAGTCCAGAGTTTTTAGTTGTAATCAGTAGGAAGGATGGGCTGTGATGGGCTTACACTACCATGCCTGAACCAGGACTTCTCTATTAAAATTGTATTATTGGACCTCATGTGCAGAGAGGTGAAAATCATTCTTCCCTGTTCGTAGCATACTGACATCATCAGTCACCATTATTGTTTATTATCCCCATTTCCTTCCCCTTCCCCCCACAGACAACCATGTTAACATGTTTGATATTTACCCTTAAATATTTATGAATTCTTGTAAAACAGCTAGTACTGTTTATGTGTATTAGTTTTTAATTTACCGAATTGATGTCGTACTATAGATCTTGTTCTGTTTCTCTTTTCTTTCAACGGTATGTTTTTCAGTTATGTTCATGTCTCTCTATATAGAAATGATTTATCGCTTCTGACAACTACCTAGTGTTCCATAGTAGGCATTGATCACAATTTACTTACATATTTTCCTAAGAATGGTCACCTGTGTTTCTTTCAACTCTCTACTCCCACAAACTTCTGTTTAATTCTTATCAGTTCTACCTCTGAAGTGTTATCTTGACTCTGTCAACTTACCATCTTTCCTACAAAACCTTAGTTCAAGCCCTCTTATTCATATGATTGCAGTGAGCTGCTAACTCTTCTTCTTTCCTTCATTCTTTCTCCATGAGTCATCTTCCATACAGCATTCAGAGTGACCTTTCTAAACCACAGATCTAAAGCAGGCCTCACACTTTGAGAACTGTTGCTCTGCAGTATCTTTAGTCACATAGAAGATACTTTGTAGTTTCTCAGTAATGCTTGTTAACTACATACTGACTGGTCTTAGATTTGGGAAATTGGATTCAACTCTATACCAGACCTTTCTGGCCAGCTTAACAGACAAGATAGCTCCTTCCCTTTAGCTATGGAGCTAAGTATCATGTTGTCTAAGTAAGATAAGGGTGGCCCTGACATCAGGGTTTAGGAAGGAGGCTAAGGGAGAAGAAAGATGGGTCAGACTAGGGCTTACGAATTGTTTTTTTCCTTCTTTATTCTCTGGAATATTACTTAATTACTGTCCCTCTGTCAGGGAAATAGGGAGGCTTGGGCATACTGGATACAGATCCAGGGGGTCTTCTGGGCACAGAACACCCTATTTGACTACTTTCTTTTCTTTGATGAATCCAAGAAGGAATGCCTACACGGGCTGCAGAGTGACCATTTTTGTGAACTGCTTACTCTTTTCAATTACAGTGAAGCATAATAATAATTGTATGTGTTGTATTAGATCAACCACTGTAATTATTTGAAGATTAGCATTGAAATTTTGTTCTTATTATCAGGCTTAGGTTTTTTTTGCACACGTAACGAAGTTGGTTGTTTTCTTATGATATATAATAATTAATAGGAACTTTACTTCAGACCCTCCTTTGTAGTATATATCTTTGTGTCATATTAGTAGCAGGACCCAGTGCTCCATAAAGGATAACAGTTTCCAGTACACTGTCCCTCATGATGACTCCTTAAGTGGCTCATCATCTGCCTCTTCGTGTGAACCAGTGAGTGATTTTCCAGCATCTTTCCGAAAATCTACCTACTGGATGAAGATGAGAAGGATCAAGCCAGCTGCTACTTCCCATGTTGAAGGTATCAGTATCAGTATCTTATTCCAAATTCAGAGCACTCTCTAAAGTTATATTTTGAGGTAGCTGTTGTAAAGAGCTCTTAAAGTATTAAGTACCACCACATACGTGTTTTCTCATTAGTGATTAACATTTTATAAAGATGTTAGGCTATCACATACTGTTACCTTTGAGTTACAGAGTGAAATTCTTCTGCTCTTACTCCTCTAGGTTATACTGTTATTAACCTTTCTTCTTCATTATTTGAACTTTTCTCCCATTGTTCTAGTTTGATCCTCTGTTGAGGCTTTATAGGCTGGTGTAAAGGTTATTCTGGGTAGAATTGTCTTGCTGGTCATAGTCTCAAGGCCTTTTTGTAGCCCTTTGTCTTGAACAATTCTGCTTCAGTGTTAGCCTCAAATCAAAATCAAACAAAGCACACTGTACAAAGGTCTTTATTGTTTATAGGGAACAGTCAATCACTCGGGGTGGAGAATAGTACAAAGGAAAAAGGGAAGTTGAGTCATTTGATGAAAAGAGATAAAACCTCCCCTAAAAATGTCGCAACTGCCTCTAGGAGGCCTATGCTTGCTTATGATCTTTCCTTTTGATGGTCTTGTGAATGATGTTTTGATGGCAGGCCCAGATGTTCACTTACAAACCATACTGAGGTTTTTTCTGCTTTTGTATGGTATTTCAGGGTCAGGTGGAGTATCAACCAAAGGAAAAAGGAAACCCAGGCAGGAAGAAGATGAAGACTATCGAGAATTTCCTCAGAAGAAGCATAAGCTCTATGGTAAGGGAGCAGCTTCTTTAATTCTTTTTCCCTGAGTGCATGGGCTTTATTCTTTGCAGGAGAAAGACTTTAGGTTTTGCCCTTGGAGCACTTTTGAGCCCTTTGAATATTTTGACAAGGCATGGCCTCCATCCTGCCTTATTTTACCCTTCTGTCATGATTTAAGGGAGTCATTTGGTTGAGGGAGTGGGGCATAGAGGGTTGAGAAAAGGAAGGAGAGATTTTGGTACTAGAGAGGGGTTAGCAAAGGTGATATGTTGCCCTTCAAGTTTCTCTCTTGCATCAGGGAGGAAGCAACGGCCTAAAACTCAGCCTAATCCCAAATCCCAGACTCGTCGTATTCGGAAGGAACCACCAGCCTATGCAGCAGGTATGCTTTCTGTTGGAAGCTTTGTGGGCTCTAGTTCTCGCATTCTGATTTTTGTTGTTGTTGGTAAAGGAATGATGTGCCAAAGCATTTCTTTAAGGAAGCAGGTATTAGGCCATGGGTTTGGGGTCAGACAGTCCCTTGTTGAAGTTTTGGCTTTTCATTAATTTTCTGATCTACCTCAATTTATTTAATTTCTGCAAGCTTTAATTTCCCTGTCTCTAAATAAGAATAATAAAGGTAGTCAGAATTGTGAGAATTAAATGGAATAAAATCATTTAACGAACTTTCATGCATAGGAAATACTCAGCAAACTGGTTGTTACATATCTCAGTATCCCATTATGATATGCTGCTATGAAAAATGTTGCCCATTGTCAGTTATACCTCAGTAAAGCTGGAAAAAAGTGTTGCTCCGTTCTTTAAGCCACTGGGCTTTGGATGTCTCTAAGATGGTTTTTATGATGGGGCATTGAATAGGACTTTCAGAAGCTCCTCGCTGTCTGAAAAAAAATTATTTCTACAAGTTATGCATAGTAAGTCTCTTTCCCCAGGAGGGAGAAAAAACTATTTTGTGATGCTTTTCCTAAATTCTGGGATCGTGCTTTTTGTTTCTGGAAAATACTGCAGATTATATCGTGTTCCTTTCTCTTCTTTGTAGGCAGTTTAGAGGAGCAATGGTACTTAGAAATCGTGGATAAAGGCAGTGTCTCCTGTCCTACCTGCCAGGCAGTGGGGAGGAAGACCATAGAGGGCTTAAAGAAACACATGGAAAACTGCAAACAGGTTAGATATTGTATAGTATTTCATAACTGTTTTATGTTATGATCTTTTACCCAAACTTTAGACATCTGGCTCTGTGTTGGTTATGCTGATTACTGTGGAGAAGAGTCAACATTGTGTCATAGGGAAACATAGGCTTTGCAGTCTGGCAGACTTGGATTTGAATCTTCACTCAGCCAGTTACTAGTTTTGTCATTTAGCTTTTTACGTGTGAACTTGAGTTTCTTAATTTAAAAAGTAGAGATAAAATAATTACTACCTTGTATAGTCCATGAGAAGATAAAAAAGAAATAATCCATGCTAAGTTCCTACCCCATTACTTGGCAAATGTTGGCACTCGATAAATGGTAGTTCTTATTTTTTTAAAAACAAGTTGCCTTTACTTCTTTGCTGTCAAGGATGTGACACTGAGCTTGTGGGATTTTTTGAAATTCATCGATTGTTGAGTTTGGGAAATAAAAGCGATACAGACACGAGCATTGGAGGAGGACTTCGTGACATTCTGTTTCTCTTTTGAATAGTTTGGCACTGAGCAGTATTTTTTCTCTGTAGGAAATGTTTACTTGCCATCACTGTGGGAAACAACTTCGTTCACTGGCAGGGATGAAGTATCACGTCATGGCAAATCATAATAGTTTGGTAAGAGTGTCTTCTGTCCTACATGAGCCTATGTGGTGTTTGGATGTCTTAGATGAGTGTAGATAACTCAGTGGAGGTGGCCAAGGCTCTGGGACTTTATAGGGGTGTGAGTAAGAAAGTCTTTTTAATAGAAGAGTTCTGTACAATGAAACCTTTGGTGGTGGATATATAGGTATTTCTGAGTTTAGGTTAGTCTCATAGTTTCATATCCTGGGAGACAGAGGCTTAGAACTCTTATTTCCATTACAGTCACTTCCTTTTCACTCTAGAGGATGGAGAAAGCCAGGAGTTAGATAACGTAGACTTCACGAGCATCAGCTTAGGTGCTGGTCCAGTCCTTGATTCTTCTGTGATAAATTTTTTTTTCTGGATCTCTCTTTTCCGTGTATCATCTGCTTGTTGGCTTCTCTTGCTTTCTAGCCCATTTTGAAGGCTGGAGATGAAATAGATGAGCCGAGTGAGAGGGAGCGGCTCCGAACAGTTCTAAAGAGACTGGGAAAGCTCAGGTGCATGCGTGAGGTAAGAGCTCAAGGACAGCAACTCCTGCCTGGTCTTGGGTCCATGTCTTTCTGTTATTCTTTTCTCTCTCTCCTTCTCCCTGTAGACCTGGTTCTGTATCATCTTCCAGCATAAGAATGACTCCTGCTTTTCCAGGTCTCCTGAACTTATCAATATCTTTTTATTTTCTTTCTCATCTCTAAAAATTTATTTTTTCCCCTTTTTCCTTTGTTCGAAGGGGTTTCTTTACCATCCTTTCTTTGGTGTGATGAAGAGGATCCTAGTAACCTCACTGTGAGGAACTTCAATGTTGCTGGGTATTTGATATTGGGGTAGAGTTGCATCATAGACTAAGAAGGGAGCTCTGACACAGAGAAGGTGCACGGTTCTAGTTTCTTGAATGTTGTCTAAACATGGAATATGATATGTGATGGTAGATAGGACAGCCATTGGGCCAGAGACAAGAAAGGGTTGTGCCAGGGGGAAATGTTGGAAAGAGTCTAATGATATCAGATCTATTTGTGTGGAGTGGTAGTTGAATGCCTTGTGGCTGTTTAGAAATTTAGAGATCATGTCAAAAGATGTAAGATTATAGTATAGGTTTCTCTCCTGTGTTCAGAGTTGCTCTAGTAGCTTCACCAGCATCATGGGATATCTGTACCATGTCAGAAAATGTGGCAAAGGGGCTGCAGAACTGGAGAAGATGACTCTGAAGTGTCACCACTGTGGAAAGCCATATAGATCGAAGGCTGGACTTGCATATCACCTGAGATCAGAGCATGGGCCTGTGAGTACTGATTACTTTCTAGCCCCTGTTTGGGGATATATTCTGTGGTAACTGCTTACCCCTACGTCTTCCCATATATCCTCGGTTCCTCATTTATATCCCTGTTTACCCTTTGAATGTTTTTGTTCTCTCTTCCTTTGTTCTCTTATTTCTTCCTTTTGAACATTCTTAGTTTAGAGAAATCGAAGTTCATTGTAGTCTGGGCAGAAGCACACTCATTATATTTTTAAAGTTTAAGGCATACCCCCTTAGCTACAACTCTTGTGGGAATCTGTCCAGCTGGTTTCTGTATTCCAATTTTTTTGTCTTGACTTTTTTTTCCTGATTACATTTCTGTATTCCCACCCTACACACCTCATTTTTTTTTTAAGTTAGGTTTCGAGGTATAATTTACATGTGGTAATTAATGTTTACCCTTTTTGATGTACAGTTATAAGAGTTTTGACAATTATGTACATCTATGTAACCACCACAATCAAGATATAGAATAATTTGATCATCCCCCCAAAATTCCCTTCCGTCCCTTTGTAGTCAGCTCTTCTTGCCATCCCTAGCCCCTGGCCACCACTGATCTATTTTCTGTCCCTATAGTTTTTTCATCATATAAATGGAATCATACAGTATGGAGCTTTTTGAGTCTGACTTCTTTCACTTAGCATAATGCATTTGAGATTCATTCATATGTTGGTATGTATCATCAGTTTATTCCTTTTAATTTCTGTTTAGGATTTCATTGTATGGCTATTTCACTATTTTATTTACCAGGTGAAGGACATTTGAGTTATTTCCATTTTTTGGCAATTATGAACAAAGCTTCTATAAGCATTCACTTAACGATTTTTGTGTGACAATAAATTTTAATTTCTCTTGGGTAAATACTTAGGAATGGGACTGCTGGGTCATATGATAAACATATGTTTAACTTTATAAGAAACTACCAAACTGTTTTCCAAAGCGGCTGTGCCATTTTGCATTCTCACCAGCAAAGGATATGAATTCCAGTTGCTTTGCATCCTTGTTAGCACTTGTTATTGTCAGTGTCGTTTTACTGCGATTTAAATTTTCATTTCCCTCATGAATAATGATGACTAATGACGTTGGCCATCTTTTCATGTGCTTATTGGCAATGTCAGTCTTTGGCGAAGTGTCTTCATTAGTGAAGTTGTCTATTGAGAGCCTCTGTTCATTTTATTTTTGGAGTTTTTGTTGTTTTACTATTAAGTTTTGAATATATTCTGAATTTTTTATGTATTTTAGACACAAGTTCTTTATTAGATATGTTTTGCAAATATTTTCTCTCAAATGTGTAGCTTGTCTTTTCATTTTTAATAATGTTTTTCAAAGAGTTCTTAATTTTGATAAAGTTCAATTTTTTTTCTTTTATGGATAATGCTTTGTTATTGTATATATTTTTGTTCAATCTAATGTATAGTTTTATATTGCTCCTGTAAAAAAAAAATCACCACAAAACTAATGGCTTAAGCAACACAACTGTGTTATGTCACAGTTCATTAGGCCAGAAGTCCAGGTATAGCACGACTCAGCTGGCTTCCCTGCGTGGAGCCTCACCAGGCTAGAATCAATGTGTCAGTAGGGCCGTTCCTTACTGGAGTCTTGAGGAGAGAATCTATTTCTAGTTTCATTAAGATTGTTCAAGAATTCAGTTCCATGCAGTTATAGGACCTCATTTCCTTGCTTGCGGTAGGCCAGGGGTTGTTCTCAGCTTCTAAGGGCCATCTTCATTCCCTGGTTCATGGTTCCCTTCATTTTCAAGTCAGCAGCAGTATGGAGTCTCTCTCTCATGCTTTAAATCTCTCCTGCTGCTTCTGTCATGTCTCTCTTACTTAAAGTCACCTGATTAAGGACTTTAATTAGATCTACAAAATAACTTTCACATCACCTAGATTAATGTTTGAATAACTGATGACTATAGCGTGGCCAAGTTGATACATCAAAAAAGTCATCTCACCCCTAATATAATATTATATGTCAACTGTAATTTGAAAATAAATTTAAAAAAGAATAATATCCAGGTCACAAAAATTTTCTCCTTTGGTTTCTTCTAGAAGTTTTATTGCTTTATGGTTTACATTTAAGGCTATTATCCATTTTGACTTAATTTTTGTATATATTATGAGGTATGTGTTAAGATTCATTTCTTTGCATATGGCTATTTGTTGACTTTGAACCACTTCCATTGACTACAACAGAATAGATTTTATCCTGCTCAGAAGCGTTTTTACCAGTAAGATGTGCATTAAGATGGTGGAGCTTTGTGCTAGTGGGTAGCAAGCTGATAAAAAGCTTTTTTGATATATAGAGCAAAAAAGACAGCCCTTAATCATTGGCTCTAATGGAAGCCACTTCTCAGGCCTGTTTTTTGCTATGTCTCATTCTTGCAGATCCCCTTCTTTCCAGAATCAGGACAGCCAGAGTGCTTAAAGGAGATGAGCTTGGAGCCAAAGAGTGGGGGCCGAGTTCAGAGGCGTTCTGCCAAGATAGCTGTATACCACCTGCAGGAGCTGGCCTCTGCTGAACTGGCCAAGGAATGGCCTAAGAGGAAGGTTCTTCAGGATCTGGTACCTGATGATCGGAAGGTAAGGTGGAAACCTGTATTAATTTTGAAGGATTATGTCTGATACTGTGCTTATTACATACAGAAAAGTAAATGCACTTGAGTGAAGTACATGGTAAACAGAATTTATTGGAGATGGAGTACATCTGATCCAGCTTCAGTGTTTTGTTTCATGTAGGTCCTAGAGAAACAGTCGGTTTCAGAAGTTCCTTAAGGAGTCTCTTAATTTTGGACTTCTTCCAGAGAGAACCTAAATTTCCAGATTAGTTTTTCTGCTTAGTTTTTGCCTAGTGTGTTTCTACTTTGTTAGTTCACATGTAGTAGTTTATACTTAGTTTAGGGAAATACTGAACACTTGGTTAGGGTGTGTAGTCCAGTTTTCTCTATGGCAAAATTATAGTTTTCCCCTTTGTAATTAGTGAATATTTTGTGGGAAGATTAAGACTACATAACTAACCTGTGTTTTATCATACTTCTACCCACTTACTTTAGCATCCATCAGTGTCATGCCTGCAACAGTTATTTCTGTGGTGTTTCCTTAATGATGATTTTCTGTTTCCATCATTTCTTCTACAGTTGTTCATTGGAATTCTTCTGAGAAAGATCCGTCCTTTTTTTCTGTTAATTTATTTTATATTAATATAGACTCATGGATATATTTATTCTATCACCTATGATCCAGTGTTGTTGTTATTTGTTTTGCTGCTCAAATTGTTCCAGATTTGGTCATCAAGAGCTCTTTCAAGTGGGCTCCCATATATTTTTCGATACTCCCTTATCATTTTTTTTGAGCTCTTTTTTACTCTCTGACACCGCATGATACTGTAGGCTCATCTTGCCTTTTTCCTGCCCTAGCCTTGGAATCAACCATTTCTTTAATGAATTCTGGTTCCTTTTATTGGAGACTATATTTAGAAGCCAAGATTGGAGTGCTAGATGTATTCATTCCTACTAGGGTGTCATGCTTCTGGTCCTTCTTGGTGGATAGACCTAGGATATATATGTATGTGGATTAATGGATGCATACACACACTCCGTATTCGTTTCTTTGTCTATCTATATATTAAAGCCATGATACCTTTAATTCCAATCCAACACCACAGGTTTCATTCTCGCCTTCCTCTTTTCCTTATTTGTAACTCCTTTCTTCAACAGCAAGAATCCTGGCTCTTGTCTACAATATATTTACCTTGTTCAACCCTAGTACAACATAAAGTAGTTTCAGAACTGTTAATCCATACCCCTGTAAAAAACAAATTTATTAACTAGAGACAATATTTGTGTGTAGTTCTTTTCATCTTTAGCCTTACAGTCAAAATTCTATTTTTCAGTTAACTTACATTGGTTTATCCCCCATCCCCATCATTATGTTTCTCATTTGTAATAATTAGATTCACATGTAACTCTTATTAATTTTGGGTTCCCCTTACATCCTGTTTAATTTAAACTATTCATTTATTTAGGGAGTACATAAAGCATTACCATGCTTCTAAAAATCAGACGTATACAAAAAGTTCTTTTCAGAGAAGTGTCACCACCCCCTCTTTCCAACAGTTCTGTTCTAAGTCCCCTTTTATTTCCATTCTGTTCTTATCCCACTGCCCCTAAAGACAACCAGACTCAATAGTTTCTGGTTTATCCTTCCTGTATTTTTATGGGATGGATATATGAATATTTTTTTATATCTCCTTTCTTACTATGGATGCCTTTTTTTGTTTGTTTTGCTTTATTTCACTTAAAATATATCCTAGAAATCACTCTAAATGTGCTCATAGAGATTATCCTCATTTCTTTTTTATAGCTGCATAAATATGATAGTTTATTATGTGAATGTAATAGTTTATATAAATATTTCCCCATCAGCATAGAAGATTTTAGTTGAATCCATATATATACTAGCTGCAGAGAAGGGGAGATACTTATAAATATAGCCATCTCCATGCTCTGATTTCTTTTGTAGCTTTACCAGAGTCTCTCTAGTCTGCCTTTCTTACTGCCCCCATTACCTCTATGGCCTTTGGTCTTAGAATAGTTTCTGAGACTAACCAATAGACAAATATACTTAGCAGTTTCAAGAACTTTAAAAGGTCTTACATATTACAGTTTTTTTTTACATATGAAAATATACTTATGGAACTCCAGAATTACAGAACCTGAAGAGTTGGGTGTGAATATTCCTCTAATAAAGTGTTTCTTGTCTCGTAGTTAAAATATACTCGCCCTGGGCTACCTACGTTCAGCCAGGAAGTACTACATAAGTGGAAGTCGGATATCAAGAAGTATCATCGCATTCAGTGTCCTAACCAGGTGGTTCTTTCTCATTCATTCAGTAAATGTTTATCATGTATCTGCTGTTGTTTCAGTTATTTATTCCTTTGTGACAAAGCACCTGAACCTTAGTGATTTAAAACATCAAATATTTTATTTGTTCACAATTCTGTAAATTAATAATTCTTGTCAGGGCTCAGGGTAGTTCTCCTGCTGTGCATAGCATCAGCTGGAAGCTCAGATGGGACCTGAATATCCAAGATGGCTTCTGTGTAGCTAATTCAGCTGGGAGCTTATCTCTCCACGTGGCCTCTTTCTCTAGCAGGGTCGTTGGTGACAGACTTTTCAGAGTATTCCAGGAACATGAAAGTGGAAGCTGAAGATCTCTTAAGGCCTAGCTTCAGAATTCGTTCAGCATCTTTCCATGGCATTCTTTTGGTCAAAGGAAGCACAGGGCTAACCCAGATTCAAGGAGAGGGTAAATAGAATAGACTCCGCATCTTGATTGGAAGAATGACAGAGCATTTCCGGCCATCTTTTATCTACCCTAGCTATATGTAGTACTTTGGGGAGGAATAGATACCTAAGAAATAGAAGATACATTTGTACTAAAAAAAGCAGATTTAAAAAAAAAATCTAACCATATATATTTCTGTGTTTCTTTAAGTATAAGACATACCAGGGAAGGGAATGTCTTAAGCTTTTGTAAACAACATGTTCACCTCTTTTACTTTTCATTGGTTTTTCTTCCTGCTTTTGTGGCTTGCATATGAATCCTTTTTCTGTTTGGTTTATGGTACAATTTTTTGGGCTTCGTCCTTCAAATATAGAGTTGGTCAGTGTAAATGACCAGATTGCTAAGAGAGGGATGCTGTTTGGTGTAGTCTTCATGTTATTTCTCCTTTTTTTTCAGGGTTGTGAGGCTGTCTACAGTAGTGTATCTGGCCTTAAGGCTCACCTGGGCTCTTGTACATTGGTTTGTAACTTTCTGAACTATTTTATTCTTAACATGACCTCTGAAATAGTCTGACATAGAAGAGAATTCAGTTTAGGTGAACAGCTAGTTGTCTTGTTTTCTGTTATCTTCTGAGGCTGGTTTAGTTTTGTATGACCCAAAGAACATTGGTCTCTTATTGAGTAAGATGCCAGGGTATGTCCAAGATGCAGAAAAGGCCGACATAGCCATAAATCATATCAATTAAAGAATTTGGAGAAAAATAAACTAGTTCTGAATCCCTACCAGGGTTTAACTTCTTCTACATGAGCCTCTCCCACATTGGACCTGCCCTGTCTTATTGGGCCTTAAACTTTCTAGAATTAACTTATATGTACTTATCTGGATTGGTGAAGATCCTCTGAACCCACCTGAATTATACTGGCCTCTGGGGATGGGAGGTGGGATCCCTGGGTGTCAGGCTAACAGCCATTCACCTCACTGAATCTTTTCCATGTTGACCCAGGTGCCCTACAACCCACCAGCCGTGGGGATTGCTGCCACTTTCCAATCCCTTTCAGAAGTATCTCCTCACACAAAATGAGCACCATGGAAACCCGAAGCTTCAGGAGGGGAGAGAAGTCTCAGTTCAAGGCAACCAAGGGAGTTGTAGGCACCCAAACCAGATCTGTCCAGGAACGTTTAGGAGTTTGTCATCTTGATCTTAGATTCTGAGTCCTTAAACTAGGTATTATGGATGGTACTCTTCTAATTCTGGATTTCCAAGGCCCTTTTTGCAGCAGTGGATTACAGTGGGAAGAACTGCAGGTTTATCTCTTGTGAACTTCAGGGGTTTGATCATTTTGGGGGAGGAACCAAGAGAACCTTGGAAGTGAAATGAAAGGAACAAGGGAAGGTAGAAAAATATGACACATCACATAGGTAGGAGAACTTCAGGTCGTGTTGAAAAGGGTGGGGGTGGGGGTGCATCAGGATAGATTTATAGTGGTGATAGTCTGCCCAAACTGATTTTCCTAAATATATCATTGTTTTGGATTTTCTTTCTTCTTATCTTTGCTGAAGTAGAATCCCCTCTTTTCGTCTCTGACAATTCCTACACATAGCCCAGATATGTGTTTCTGAATTTACCAGTAATTCTCTTTTCTTTCATTCTTGAAAATAGGGGACCTTTGTGGCTGGAAAATACAGGTGTCTTCTGTGTCAAAAAGAATTTGTGTCAGAGAGTGGTGTCAAGTATCACATAAACTCTGTTCATGCTGAGGTGAGATTTCTGCTTTCCCACAGGGTTTTTATAATTCTCTGGGCCCAATACATAACACCACAGGAGAGGTGGATTCTGTGTCTATTTTTATGAGCTAGGACTGTCAAGGAAAGTGACTCTTAAACTGGTTACCAGAGACATTGGAGTTAAAATACTTTCTAAAATTAGATGTGTAATTATATTTTTCTATAAAAGCATTTGAAATCACTGTGAGAATCCCTGAGCTCTTCTAATTCCCTTAAATCCAGTTAAATCAAGCATTTGGGAACCAGGCTGAATTTATACCTTTGTAATTCTTGTTTTATAGCAGTCTTTATACTTCTGTTTTCTAGTATTCTAATGTCTTCAAACAACCTGTTTTTAATTCTGTTAAAAGTATTGCATAGAAGCAAATATAAAGGACATTATTGAGACAGTGGGGGAATTTGAATACCGACTATATTAAATAATAGTAATGTGTCCATGTTAATATTCCCAATTGTGATAATTGTAGTTGTACAGGAGAATGCCCTTGTTCTTAGGCAGATACATGCCGAAATATTTAGGGATGAAGTGGCATGATGTCTGCAGCTAACTTGCACATTGTTCAGAAGGAAGGAAGAAGAAAGAAAGAGATGAACAATAGCAAATCTAGGTTCATTAAATGATTGTAACTTTTCTGAAGCTTTGTGAATTTTCAAAATTAAAAAAAATCAGTATAAAAATGCTTTAAAGTTCAGAAAGTAAAGAGTTTTCTCTTGGGCAAAGTATTTTAGTAGTACAGTTGAACAGAGAAAGTATTTACTGTATAATTAAACACTCATTGCAAAAGCTTCAGGCATAGAGTGTGTATTATCTTGGAATATCTTATTGCAGAAACTATTGTTACCTGATGAGGAAAAATAGCAAGTACCTTGAGCTGTTCTCTGCTCTCAAATTGAATAATTCTTAACAACGTGGGCTTTAGTGTCATCAAAAGTGGTTCCTGTTGCTTTACTGGTTTAAGCTTTGGGAATCCCTTTCTGTATCTGAGATTTTTTTTCTGGAACGCAGCCATATCTTTATTTTATAATAATAGTGTACCTTTTTATGTTTCAGGAAGTAGTTGAAAGATAAATAAAAATCTGGCCTTCATGTAGTTAACTTATTTCTCTAGTGCTTCCTAAAAAGTTGGAACCAACAAATTTCACTTAGTTTGGGGCTTGCTCCCCAAACATTTATTCAATGATTTATGCCTGTATTTATGAATTATATGTGGTGGTGAAACATCTTTACCCTGTTCCTCCATCTCTGTCTCATATTTTCTTACATTAGTTTTTTTTAATAGTAATTTTCAGACGCATGAAAATGGACAGACAGAAAAGTATAATGAACAACTTTAAGAGTCATCGGTGTATGGCCAATCCTGTTTGATTTGTAACTACACTCACTTTTCTTGTCCCTTTAAGGCTTATTTTAAAGCAAATTCCACATACAATGTTATAACCACAACCATCATTACACGTAAAAAAATTAACAATGATTCTTTAATATCATCATATATTCAGTCATTATTTAAATTTCCCTAATTATCTTCTTTTTTTTTCAGTTAGTTTATTTAAATCAGGATCTAAACAAAGGTTTATATACTGCATTTGTCTAATTTAATCTAGAGTAGTGCTATTCAGTAGAAATGTAATGTGAGCCATATGTGTAAAAATTTCCAGTAATCACATAAAAAGTATAAACAAAACAGGTAAAACTAACTTTAATAATACATTTTATTTAACCAAGTGTATTGAAAATACTGTTTAACATGTAGTCAATAAAAAATTATTGAGATACTTTACGTTTTTTCATACTAAGTCTTCGAAATTGGTATGTATTTTACATTGAAAACATACCTCAATTTGGATTAGCCACAGTTCAATAGCTTATTCGCCACATGTGGCTAGTGACTGTCTTATTGGACAATGCAGGTCTAGACATTTTCCCTTACTCTTTTTTTTGCCCTTTAGTTGTTGAAGAAACTGGGTCATTTGTCATATGTGTTTACTCACATTCTGGATTTGCTGATTGTATTCCTGTGCTGGTGGTCTTCTGTCCTGGGTAGTTCCTATAAATTGGTTGTTAGACCTAGAAGACTGATCAAATCACTTGATTTAGGTTGAAATTCGTTCTTTTTTTTTTTTTGCAAGAATATTTCATAACTGGTTTCCATGTGTCCCAACTCTTAATTTATAAACTGAGGCTCAAAGAGCTTAAGTAATTTTCCCATGGTCACAGAGCTAGAAACACCTGGGATTTGCGCCCAGGTAGTCTGGCTGCAAAACTCATGCTCTTAACCACTATACTATCATGAAATAAAAATCTCCCATTGCCCAGTGCTTTACATTTCATGAGGAGGTTTTTACAAAGGGGATAAATGGGTGGATGGTGCTAAGTAAACTGACTCTGTAGGTCAGTTATCGAAGTACCCCAAATCATGTGCACAATAAATATGTACAATGACTGCTCTCGTATTGATTTTCTCCAGTTTAAGAGAGTTCTAAGCTCTGGTTCCATGTCTGTTTCCTTGTGTTTAGGGTATTCTGCCCTAAAACCATGCATTTAAAAACAATTCTTCCTGTACCCCCTCTTTATGCTCTTGTCTGTGTTTTGACTGGATAATGTTTCTATTTTGCCTCTGCAGGATTGGTTTGTTGTAAATCCAACAACAACCAAAAGCTTTGAAAAGCTGATGAAGATAAAGCAGCGGCAGCAAGAAGAAGAAAAGCGGAGGCAGCAGCACAGGAGCAGAAGGTCTCTAAGAAGGCGGCAGCAGGCTGGCATCGAGCTGCCTGAGGCAGAGCTGAGTCTTAGAGTAGGGAAGGATCAGAGGAGGAGCAATGAGGAACTGCTAGTGTCGACCTCCTGTAAGGAACCAGGGCAGGAGCCATTGCCAGCACAGTCCCAGAAAGTAAAGCCCCCAAAGACTAATCATAAACGAGGAAGGAAATAGGCAGGCAGTGTGAAAGCACTCCTGGGAGAGTGGATGTGATGCTGTTGTCACGGGGACCTGTGCTGAGAGGACTGAGTCATGGGGGCTAAGTGAAGAGAAGTGTACTCTTTCAGCCATTTGTGTAAGGCTATGACTTTCTCAGCTCCTTCCTCTTGTATAAATTTCACTGTTTTCCCTACTTATTCACTCTGACCCCCACTCCCACCCTTTTCGCTAGGTTTTCCCGCTATTCCTCATTGAAGTCTTCTTGTTTTTCTCTTATCTTGCCCAAAGAGCTCCCTCTTAAGGCCAACTGTAGGCCCCTCTTGTCCTATACAAGACTAAGAAACCTATTTGGTTGTCCTTCTCTTCCTGGGGCATATAATATTTTTGGAAGCTCCATTGATTTAGTAGTCATACTCTGTCATCTAGCTTATAAAACAATTCCGTTAATTTTTAAAAACCATACTGATTAATCATTTTGTATTTGTGATATAATAAGCCTAGAAGCTGGAAATGTCACTCATATGATAAGGTAACCCTGTCTCTTTGGGAAGCAAACTTTATGGAGGCTGTTTGTTCTCAATATGGTTTTAGGATTGAAAGTAAGTAAATGGACTTAGGAAGAAAAAGCTAGAAATTCCC